GATGTAAGACGCGAGCCCCAACGTGAAGCGGATGGGAGATGCCTTTTGTCTGGGCACGACTTTCGCCAACGCGAAGTCGAATCTCTATCTTGGCCATTCCAGTCGTCAGCTAAGTCAAAGTCGAAGTCGTCGTGGCCAGCGGCGAGAATGGATGGATTGTCTCGCCGACCGTAGTACCCGGATGCCTGTGAGAATGTAGGTGCCATCGTTGCTCGGAGTCTGCAAATCGGAAAGTGAGAGCCCTTCGAGAGCTCATGATGCTGCTCATATGCGAAGCGAGGAATGTGGTGCCCACGAGAAGCCAAACGGTTGAAAAAAATCAGCAGCGACAGTAACGCAGCATGTGATGGAACACCAACAGTCTGCGGTGCACAATATCCTTGGCTCGGTGAGACCGACAGAAGATCAGCGGCGCCAACTTTGGAGTGGAAGGGAACGAGTTCACTACGAGGATGTCGACGCGCTGTTGGTGCAGTTTTGGCCGCTTCCTTATTGAGGACTTGAGGTCTCATGTTGAGGCTCACCGTGTTGACTTGACGTTGATCGACCTGAGATCGAGAGCACCGTTCTAAGATCGTGCTGCGTTGGCTGAAAAAACTGAGGTTGTCTCCGAAAAACTGAGGTTGTCCGCGGATCGTCTGCTGCACCAGTCGTCCGTCGTGAAGCATTGAAGGTCTCATCGGTGAGACTCTCACCGAGTCGGTGACACCGACAAAGCCGCTGTACTGGCAGAACTGGCAGTACTACTGCAGTGCATGGGCATGAAGCAGCGGCACACGTGCATTGTAGGCGACATTGAACATTGGGCCAGAAATTGTAACACAGACTGTAAAAAGTCTAATAATTGTCTGTTTGATATAAATAAAAGTGCTATATAACTTAGTGTCTTGAGAGGGCGGTAGAACTCATCAATTAGCCAGAAGCATCCTTTAAGGTCAGCGAAAATGTCCGGCAAGCACGAGTTCTGCCCAGGAGAGAAGCGGATGATTGTGAACAGCTACGAGTATTTCAAAAGCCAGAAGGAACAAGGCCTCTTCAAAGGCATCAGGACACGCCAACTGGTCTCTGATTGCGTTGGTTGTGGTCCCAATACCGTTGACTCCGTGGTTAATGAGAAAAAGAATAACCCAGACACTGATTTTGAGGTATATCAATTATAACTGATAATTGTAGCATTTCCTTTTTAAACTAATATTTGTACAAAGCCCAGTGAAAACGACAGAGGTCGAAAGCGAGATTATGACCTGACGGATCCTTTATAATTGTTTTCACCATCCTGCTGGCAGAATTGAATGCTAAATCGACAAGGGCAATCTGCGACCGGGCGATGTGTCATCTTCCTTTTTGACATATGATTTGATTCTAGACCAATCATATCTGTGTATTTGGCGCGCCTTTCCCCCGAAAATGACAGTGTTCTGAGAAAGCATTTTTAAACGACTGTAGCTCCAAAACGGCTGGGAATTGGCTAAAAATTACCACAAAATCGAAATCTAAACGCATGATTGCCCCCTATATCTAAATGTCGATATAGGTTTTCCTAAATGTAGACCTCTTATGCCTCTCTAGATTCTGGCCCAATGTTCAATGTCGCCTACAATAGCTGTTCTTGCATGACCATCCGTACTTCAATCATTCAAGGTGAGTATCTTGGCCGTTACTAGCAAAGTCAAAGTCAACGCGGCGCACTGCAAAGATCGAATGATAACCGAGGCTCTCGGTCCGAGAGGAGGTATCGGTACGTACGGCAAGTTGCCTGGGGTCGCCCATGTAGCGACAAAGTGATCTACCTGCAAAAGGTATTATTTTATCCCTGCCAACGAATCGAATCGTGGCAGACAACGTTGACCAGAGACTTTCGCACGGTATTCATATTATGGGGGCTAGAACAAGTGCCGACGGGGTCCTAAAACTCAAAAAGCTCCTAGCTACTAATGCTGGTCGGCTGGCAGCAAAGGTTCCACAATTGAAAGGCTGGTGCCGAGTGAAATAAGAAACAGGCAGAAACCAGCCAAGAAGAGGCCAATGAAAGGATTCCTGTTGCTTTTGCTGCTTTGCGTCGCTTGCTGCTGTGCTACCGCCCAAAGGCGTGAGCGCGACTCTGCTATCGCCAACTTCCTCAAAGCGCGAGCTGGCTGGCAGACCATGTGCCTCTACACCTTCGACGATCCTGCCATC